GTACGCGGGCCTCTCACTGCTGCGGCCTCTCCCGTTGCGGAGCACAGGCTCCAGACGCGCAGGCCCAGCGGCCATGGCCCACGGGCCCAGCCGCTCCGCAGCACGCGGGATCCTCCCAGACCGGGGCACGAACCCGCGCCCCCTGCACCGGCAGGCGGACTCCCAACAGCTGCACCACCAGGGAAGCCCTGGAACTTATTTTTTAATCTCCTGCATCCTCCAAAACATTGATGCAGGATTAAAAATCTGTGTCCAGGACTTTGGGGGAGAAAGTGAAAATCAAAATGCTCTAATAAGAGACCCTTGAACCATGTACATTATGTAATCCAAGGGGAGCTGAAATCTAGATATGACTTAACTGTCATGGTTAGTGAACTCGACAGCTGAGAGCCTCACTAGTGAAGGCAGTGATTAGTGTACAGGGTTAATCTTCACTGTTGTCAGATTCTGCCTGGCTATCCTGCCATCTCTGCGATGGTTCCTACTTACAGTTCCCACTCATGTGATATTTACTTGTGGTTACTGGAAACTCATGTTATTACCCAGAAGACAGTGGTTCCGTTTTTGTAATCATTGTTCTTGTTCAGGTTTCCCCAAATGACATTTAAGAAATCTGTTTTCTAACCTTTCTATTATGCAAAACAGCGTGATTATGGATCATTTCCTTTTAGAGATACGAATTCACGTTTATGGAGTTTAACTGCCTCTCTCCACGGGCACTTACTGTGATCCTTTTTTTTTATTTATTCATTTATTTATTTTTGGCTGCATTGGGTCTTTGTTGCTGCGCACAGGCTTTCTCTAGTTGTGGCGAGCGGGGGCTACCCTTTGTTGCGGTGCGCGGGCTTCTTGTTGCGGTGGCTCCTCTTGTTGCTGAGCACCAGCTCTACGCGTGCAGGCTCAGTAGTTGTGGCACACGGACTTAGTTGCTCCGTGGCATGTGGGATCTTCCCAGACCAGGGCTTGAACCCATGTGCCCTGCACTGGCAGGCGGATTATTAACCGCTGCGCCACCAGGGAAGTCCTACTATGATTCTTTTAATCCATGTATTTATTTATAAGGAAATGGAATAATATTTACTATCAATTCCTATATACACTTTCTTAGTTTCAGCACGATTCCTATGACATTCCACTGACATGAAATCGAATAAAGATAAAAACATCTGATATGATTTTTTCGCATCTGTGTGGTCAGTCAGAACGGTTTCTTTTGTTTTTCTTTGTTTATTTTTTTTGATATATAATTCACATACCATAAAATCCGTCCTTTTAAAGTGTATAATTCAGTGGTGTATAGCATAATCACAGAGCTGTGCCACCATCACTACTGTCTAATTCCAGAATATTTTTATCACTCCCAGAAGGAACCCCATGATTCTTTAATATAATATTTTTCATGACCACTTTTTAAAAAACTGTAAGTTCAACAGAGTGATCGTCACAATGTCCTGTATTATCATCTAAGAACTATATAAGAGTCTTATACTCCATATGATACCACATTTTAGTGATGAGATACTCAGTTTGATTTGAGAGGATAATGCCATTCTTACTTAGAATGTACATACTGGTTCCTGTCATTTGGAGTCAGAAGGAACTGGAAGGTTATAGATGAAGTCAGTGTAAACAGTGGTTTCATCAACGGAGTGAACCACAAAAATAACACCTGCCCAGATCAAGCAAGTCACAACAGCACGTATAGCCAAGTAAGTGATGCGGTCCTTGTGCACAGACATTGTATCACACACACTGTTCTCCGAAGTGAGGGAATTCGTCCCTTAGAAATTGCTCATTGGAACACTGGGACATCATGCATCACGTTAAAGATCCATAAATGTCATCTCAATAGGGTAGATATGATGCATGGTAATATCCTCCCCGTATCTGCATAGGGTTCTTCTGCTCAACAGCTTGTCATGATGCATTGCCTCACAGAATCCCGCTGTACTGCGTCAGAGACAGCTGAGAAGCCCCATGGGAGGCTTCTTCAGTCATTACTACAAGGACTAAAACACCAGGAGACCTGGAAGTCATCCTTAGGATTTGACAGAATACCCTTATCTCTAAATGGATCGGTTTATTATGTAGTTGGTACGAAGTAGGAATGTAATATTTTGTGATTGAGTACATCTTTTACTGTTAAGAAAGAAAGCATCCATTTTTGGTTGTGAGATGAGTAGAATTTAGAGTCTAGCAGCATTGTATTTTTCCTTTTACTTTGCCAATCCTGAATGTCTTTGGAAAGGTCATTTAATTGTTAAGAATATGCACTTTGGAGGCAGGCAAACCTGAGTACGTAACCCCGGTTCCTCAAGTTTGACCCATGGGGCCTTGGGCAAGGTTTAACCTCTGCAATTTTGTTTTCTCATGTATAAAATGAGAATTCTCCAACTACCAACCGCATAGTGTTTTTGTGTAGGAATAAAATCAGATTGCGTCTGGACAGAGCTCATTCCAGGATTAGGCACCTAGGAAGTGCTCAATAGATATTAGTTACCCACCCATTAACAAATCTTCATTGTCAGAATACCACTGTGATAGAGCAAATGTTGCTGACACCTCCAACAAAGTACGATACTTTGTAGTTCCCATGTGCCTGTTTTTTTTTTTTGCTTTAAATGTTCTCATCTTCCATTTTGCCCTTGACTATGTCACACAGGCACTTCGAGGAGAAATTGCACCTCTCAAAGAGAATGTAAGCCACATCAATGACCTTGCTCGCCAGCTCACCACGTTGGGCATTCAGCTGTCACCATATAACCTCAGCACTCTGGAAGACCTGAACACCAGATGGAAGCTTCTGCAGGTAGGCATATTATAAGCATTTCGGTTCCTTCTGTCAGTAAGAGAATATACAGATAAAGCTTGTTTGTAAGGAACAATGAAAGTAATTTCTTCATGTGACACTCATGATAATATTTTGTGAGTGTAGGATATTTTGTATTATTTAATAATTCCCTATGTGTATGTTTTCAAGCCTATTAATATTCATTTTTTAATGGCTTAGAGTTAGACTTTACTATATCTTGCAATAAACATGGAAGATAACGCTGAATCATGCTGGAAGAACTAAATTACTGGCATGCAATTGCTTTGTACTATCATTGCTTGGATTCTTAACACATCTTTCCTTTTGGAATCCTAATTTAAACGAGAGTCAATGGTAAGACACATTCTGAATCTTTTAAAGAAAGATCATCCTATCACAAACCCACGCAACGAAGTTTTTCATAGGTTTGCATAGTAAATAAAGGGAATGTAGGTGTGCTCAAGGTCACACTTACTGGCTGTGGGACCTCTGGCAAGTTATTTAACTTTTCTGTGCCTCAGTGTTTCATCTGAAGAAAATGGGGATGTTAAATGTTTCTAAAACATTTGTCTATTATCAGGACGAGTAAGTCGAAATACATGGGAAATGGTTAGTAAAGTACTAGCCACATGGTTAGCACCGTGTGAATTCTAGTCCTTGGTGTTATTGCAGTTATAATTGTTATTATTATAGCATACGGGTTTTGGAATCAGACTTACTTGAAGTCACTTGACCTCTTTGATTGTCCATTTCCTCGTCTCCAGCATGCTTGCTGTAATATTAAAGGAACTAATTCAGGTAGAGTTATTGGTACAGTACCTGACTCGCAGTAAGAACTCAGAATATGTAATGGTGGAATAGGTGTGTCTATATGTTCAATGCGTGAAGGCCACCATTATACCCCCGAACCTTAAAACTGGTTTGACCAGAGCATTAAGGAATTGTTTCTCTCTTTTTCTGGTTTCATAAGATGAACAGAGTATGCTTCTGGGGACAGAGAGGAAAGAGGAAACTGGGTTTAAAAATATTTGTTTTCCAGATTCAGCTACTTATAATATGTTTACATTTTACTTCCAGTCTGTTTTAAATTGCAGATATCATTTTTAAGTTTTGTAATCGTAGATATTATCTTGCATTTTGTAATTTTCCCCTAAGATTTTTTTCATATACATTTATTTATTTTTGGCTGCATTGGGTCTTTGTTGCTGCGCGCGGGTTTTCTCATTGCGGTGGCTCCTCCTGTTGTGGAGCACGGGCTCTAGGCGCGCAGGCTTCAGTAGATGTGGCACGTGGGCTCAGTAGTTGTGGCTCGTGGGCTCTAGAGCACAGGCTCAGCGGTTGTGGCGCACGGGCTTTGTTGCTCCGCGGCACGTGGGATCTTCCCGGACCAGGGCTCGAACCCATGTCCCTGCGCTGGCAGGCGGATTCTCAACCAGTGCGCCACCGGGGAAGTCCCTCCCTTAATATTATAAAATGGGCTTTTTGTACATTACAGTACCCTTTAAGTAAACATTATTATAATGGGTACGTATTGAGATGAATATATTATAATTTATATTTGTATACTAAAATAAAAATATTTGTTTTCAGTGTTTCAGTAAGAAAACAAATGGTAAACCAGATTACTTTTCCTATTGGCAGTCCATTTAGGGGTGTGACTGAAAGTCCTGTTAAAGAATTGCTAGATCTTTAATAAAAACAAGGTCTAAACTCAAGACCTCTTGAGATCTCATATAATTTAATTTTTGTTGTGCTGGATAGTCTTGAAATACATGTATGATAGATTGTTATAAGTGGCATTGACTAAAGCGAGGCAATATATTTAAGAGATTACATGCATTTCTATGTCTGTTTGCTCCCTAGTGGTTAAGTACTGTTAAAATCTTAGCAGTTTCATCCTTAGTATGTTTCTCAATTTAAACATAAATAAGGAAGGTAATAAATGTCCAAGTAAAACCAGTGGACACATTCGTTCCATTCAAGCGCTCTTGAACTGTTATCTTCACATTTCTTTTAGTGAGCTGAATGCCACATTTGCTTTCAGAATGTGATATAAATCTGTGACAGTGGCGTGTAAATTTACCAATGAGCTAAAAATATTATGATAGGAAAAGTTAAACAAATCAATGCTAAGTGATCCATCATAGTTGCACTATTATTTAAATATAAGGTATGAGAAAATATGAATAGCTTAATTTGTATCCATTCTTTAAAATGAATAAGGACTTGGTTATAAATATAGGGAGGTACATAAAAGAAGATAGTGTGATGTCGTAAAAAGAGTGTTAGGAGTGAATAGTAGAATACCTAACTTCAAACGGAAACTCAGCTATTATTTGACCATGTTATCTTGGGAAAGCCATTTGACATCTCCCAGCTTCTATTTCCTCGTTTGTAAAACGCGATAACCAGTTCAGTCCTATGATTCTGTACGTGGATATCTGGGGGAGATGCACATATGACACAATTTAGTCTAGAATCAGTGGAGTTGCTTCCTCTTCATAATACAAACGTGACCTGTTGGGCTTACGTTCCTCCTCCTATCAATATAATTCTAACTTTTCAACCCCTCACCTCCAACACACATGTAACACAGCCTTCTCATATTAAATAATTCAGTTTGCGGCCTATGCTCTTATTGTGGCAAATTCCACACGTTGCTAGTTTTTAACGTGACCTTAAGAATAGGCTTAAAAGGTGTTTTTAGCAGAAAGCTGATAAATGCAAGGTTTGGGGTTGCACATAACTGAGTCAGGTTGATTCCGGTTTTTCCTTTGACCAGAATTCTAACCACTCGGCTATATTATAAATGTTGAGTGAGGCAGGAAGTGAGGTTCATATCAAACAACTTTATCCCCATTACTGGAAGAGCAGCTCATACATCCTGTTGAGAGCCTTTTTCGTTTAGAGGAATGTATGTGAGACTAAAGCATTACCCAGCTTCTGTGGAGGGGAGTGTGAGCCCGCCATTATTATGACATCATATTCCTACGAAAATGAAGAACTCATTCACTTACGGTGCCATGTCAGTTAACTAAGATCGTGACAGAAGTGTGAGTTCATCTTTGCTTCTGTGTCTGATAAGACAAAGAAGAACCAAGAATGGAGAGTCGGGGTAGTGGGAAGGCAGATACGAGCCTAAGAAAAAGTCTTACATTTGAGCAAATAGTGCAACAGAAGAAGGAGAGTGACACTCCTGCCAGGCTGCGCCTACTTGATATCAGAATGTCCCGGGCTTAGCTACATGATCCATTAATTTCTGCTTAAAAAAGGCATGCTGGGCTTTCAGCTGTGCGTAATGGCTCTCAAAATGATAGGAACACATAAACCACATCGATATGAGCATCAATAGCAATGTAAGACCCAGTCGCAGAGTGTCTGTACCCAGAAATAGAATGTATAGGGAGTTCTGGATTTATATTGAATCCACGAATAGCAGTATAGAGACATTGATTTGCCCATTTGAAACTCTCTGTGGGAGTAAAATCCTATTTTCTCCCTCAGAGTAGACACGTTGGTGTGGATGTTTCTGTGAGACCATCGGACAGTGTGTTTTGGACAAAGGAAACCATCATTCCTTGTAGTTACAAAGAGTTTTCATGTACATTACCTCACTTAATCCTCAAAACATTATGATTACGTATTATGTACCTAGTATCCCTGTTCCCTTGTACAAGTAAGGAAACTGAGACTTACAGAGACGGTAAGTGACACAGTGACAGTCACACAGCTTTTAGGTGTCGGTCACGATCTGAATCAGTCGTGAACTGCACCTCCCTACCCTTTTTTGTTGCCTCTTCTCACAGTCCTGTTACGTTTGGACTTAACAGAGTCATACTTTAAAGCTATTTTGGGCAACACAATATTTCACTTTTTTTTTATGCTTCACCTCTTTTTTAAACAATTCTCAGGGATATCAACTTTGAAAGCTTCCTTTACAAGCCAGTGGATTAATGAGCCCAGTTCACTGTACCCCTTAAAAGCACACCTGTCGTTTCAAATATAGAATTATACGGCATTATAGCCCTCATTGTCTTTATAACTCAGCGATTGTACTAAAATCAACCAAAAGTGATTTTAATGAATTAGCTCTCAAGGTGGAACCAATGTTAATACCTGATCCAGTAGAAATGGGTATTGAAACCAAATGGGGAGAAAAACTGATGATAAACCTTTCTAATTCTGAAGCATTGCACACACTTCTAGCGCCGTAGTTGTGCTCTTTAGTCACCAAGCACAAGTACTATAGGGAAGTACTACTAGGGAATGTTCTGCCCATTTCTCTGCCTCGTGAGTAAACCCACGAATAGCAACAGAAGCTGCAAATGCACTTTAATATAAAATGTAAATGCTTCGTTGACTGTAGGATGTATGAAATGTAATCACTTGAAAAGTATTAAAGATGAAGACGTTTCCATGCGTGACATTCTTTAAATATGTTTAAGGACAGCATCATGAATTATGTGTTTTTAAAGGTTTCCTAAGATTCTTCCAAAGTCATGCGGGCAGTTATATACTCCATCGGAACATCTCTGTGGTAACTTTCTGTCACAGGGATGTAGACCCTCATCTTCTATATACTCCATTCCTTCTTTCATTCTTTCCTTCTTTCATTCAGTCAGCACTGATTAAGCATCTACTGTGTAGCAGCCAGACACTGTAATTGTCCTATCTGGTCCAAGGACATAGTGACCAAAACTCCCTTCACTGCTTACGCCATCTTAAGCAAAGGCTTTTGGTTTGTTTGTTTTTATAAATTTATTTATTTATTTTTGGCTGCGTTGAGTCTTCGTTGCTGCGCGTGGGCTTTCTCTAGTTGTGGCGAGCGGGGGCTGCTCTTCGTTGCCGTGCACAGGCTTCTCATTGCGGTGGCTTCTCTTGTTGTGGAGCATGGGCTCTAGGTGTGTAGGCTTCAGTAGCTGTGGCGCACAGGCCCAGTAGTTGTGGCTTATGGGCTCTAGAGCACAGGCTCAGTAGTTGTAGCGCCCTGGCTTAGT